TAAAATATCAGAGAGGATGACCAAGCTTATGAGAAATTCCGACGACATTATAGATTGGAGCAACGAAAATGGAGATGTAGCACTTCTTCTGTTTCCTTGCTCTTGATCAGCCATTTTTCGCAATATTTCAGGAAGACATGGCAAGACGTCCAAAAATGTCAAAACCGCTTCATGTCTTTCCACCCATCTGGTCTCACACATTTTTTTCAATGTATTCTGTTTTTCCTTTGGCAGATGAGCTTGCATTTCTTCTCTGAGGAGATGTATTCGTTGAGCTGAGTCACGAAAGAAAGTTGCTACACTTGAGATAACCCCTACGGAATTTCTTATGCTGGGTACGGTGCAGGCTGTACTAATAGCTAAGTTGAGTCGGTGGCTTGCACAGTGGGTAAAAAAGGCTAAAGGCTGAATGCTGGATATGCGTGCCTGAACACCTTTTATTTTTCCGCTCATGTTGGCTCCTCCATCATATGCTTGACCCCGGCACAATGTAATGTCCAGGTTAAGGTTTTCCAACGCCTTCAAAATATGGTGAGCAATGTTTTCACCAGTAAGTTTAACGACTTCGACAAACATTAGGAAGTCTTCTTGTATTTCGTTTGTATCTACATCGAAATAGCGAATACAAATAGTTAGTTGCTCACAAACAGAAACATCTGTGGTCTCATCAGCTATAATAGTAAAATATTTAGACTTTTTAATTTTTCTCACTATTTTGTTTCTGATTAATTCCCCACAGCATTCAATTAAGTCATTTTGTGTCGACTTGCTGATGTAGGAAGCGTTTTTAGCACACTTTTTTACGTGTTCATGCAGTATCTCATCTCCAGCATCGATTCGGAACTTTAGCAACGTTCTAAAGTTTCCTTCTCCGTGTCCGTAAGAACTTTCCGATTCTAAACGACCGTCATCCCTGTGACCTCTTAACGGTATGTTTTGCCTTCCACATAACATTATTGTTTTTATAATAGGTATAAGTTTTTTACGATTCTCTTCAACAGTTTTCATTTCCTGGGATCTCATTTGGACAACAACATCCATTGATTTTCCCTCCATTACCCTCAAAAAATTTTGAGATGCTACCACGTTCGCTTGGTGGTAACTCGTGCTCTCGTGGTGTGTGATCGTTTCGATTGCCTTTTTATATTTTGTCAGTGGTTCCGACACCAATTTTCCCAGCTTCACATCATTTGTACCCGCTTCACTACGACCAAAAAGAATCCCCAATTTTGCACAATCCGCCACCAGAAATTTTACTGTATGCTTGCCATTCATGTCCCTTTAACCAGCTTATTTGAAAAGACCGGTTCTTTTTTCCCTCACGCCCCAGTGGAAACTTGAAGTCTGTTGTAGGTTGTCAAGTATCTTTCAACCACTGGTACCTTTCTTCGTCTGTAAGAACTAACCCGTCTTGCTGATGTTTGATTAGTAGTGTACCTGGAATAAAAATAGATTATTAACTTCCTCGAGCTATACAAGATATAAAATGTTGAAATAAACAAAGATTGTGATACCCACCTATATCTCGTTCCTGCAACATGTAACTAGTAGAGGCTGATGCTGCTGATGGGTTTTTTGGCATTGATGTAGTTGCCGCATGCGTGGATAAACATGGGACAGTGACACCACTAAATTCAATCCCTCTCCCTGTATCTGCAACTGCATCGTCGGTTTTTTGTTTTTTGGTAAAGAAAAACGCACTTATGCTCTTTTGTCTTTTCCTGTCTTTATCACTCATTTTATTACATACATTAATATTACTTCTCACTCACTAAAACTACACTGAACTGAACTAAGTAGGCTACAACGAAATTTGTATTTTAGTTTACGTAATTTAATTATAACAAGCGCATGAAAAACTCGGCCGGCTATGACCTGCACGCTGCACGGCTGCTTCTGTCGCGAGCTGAGTCCTGACTCACAATGCGATGAGACGTGACGTGAGCTCGGACGTGAAACGCCCGCGCCTGCGCGGCTTGCGCCCCACTCCGACCCGCGCTCTCCTCCGACCGTACCGCTCATATTTCATTTGCAAGTGCGTGAAAGGGATGCAATGCAAGGAACCAAATTCGCAATTCCATATTCTTTCTGTTAGCTTCTGAGTATGTGATGGAATCTCCACAGTAAAATACCGTCTGGGGGGGGGGGGGGCACGTGCCCCCGTGCCCCCCTTCCTAAATCCGCCCTTGGTTAACATCATAACTTTCACTGAGCGTACTTGTGGCAGGAATTGATACTATCTTTCGAGCCAATTTGCATTGGAAGTGCACATTCTGCTTCCCGTCGTTATTGTAATATATGTGAAATTTTAATATTCACTGAAATGTACAGTTGAGGTATAGTTTAGTAGAGCGTTTGAAAAATATATGCATCGTAACACTGAATTAACCGTCGGCGCAACGATCAGTTAGTGACGGGCGAGTACTGCGGCGCGCCATATAAATTTTCAACACGTCTACCTTGATGTTGTGAGGTGTATAAAGTGATTTTCATGTGTGGAGCTAAATAACCAGTGAGATATTTCCTCCCTAATGCTGATTGAGCTCAGTGCCGGTTTAAGGTAGTTCGCCGCCCGGTGCTGCTACAGACACAACGCCCCAAAAAAGAGCCTGCCGCAGGCGCTGCCGGATGCATACTGTCGTAGGCAAAACATTTTTTGGTGCCAGGCCCTCTTTTGGGCCTTTGAACGGTATTTTATATTGATATTTCTACAAACTTGCTCACGTCGTGAGTCATGAGTAAGAAACTTAGTATTGGTACATACCTATATAAAATAAAAAACGAAAAATGATAAACATAACAAAAAATGTGCATTCTTTGATTTAAATAAGAAATATTATTAAGAACTAATCAAAATCACTAAATAAAACAGTATTCTTTGGTCTGAATAAACAACAGGTACGAAGAAAAACTAAATAGGAACACTAACTAAAAAATAAAACATTATTCTTTCGTTTAAAATAATAAGAAACACCAATCAGTTATCACAATCATTAATAACTGAAAATAAAAAATTAGGAACATAAGGTCTAATAACTGAAAGGTTGTTTTCTAGCTTCCATTGAAGCAAACTGCTGTATAACACTATTTACATCTACTTCATTTAGCAGGAGCAGGTCTTCGTTAATGGATGAAACTGCCAAGGAATTCAATCTTTCTTGGGCAGTTGAATTTCTTAGGTAAGTTTTGATCCTTTTTAAAGTAGAGAGAGAGCGTTCACCACTTGCATTTGACACCATTATGGAGAAAAAAATGCGCAGACAAATATTAACATTCTATTACTTTTGTCAGAGAGCGGTACGCGCGCAGCGCTGCGCGTACCGCCCTCAAAAAGTTAACCGCCCGGTGCTATTGCACCCAAAAAAACCCTGTTAAACCGGCACTGATTGAGCTCCAACAATTATGTTGATTGTTATATCAGCATCCAATAAATGCCAGATTATCTATCAGATTAGGGGTTACCTAAATTGGAAATTCCGGAAAATTCGTAAATCGTCTTCTGAGATTCAGAAATATCAAAATGGCTACAAAAAAGTGACAAAGAATGTTCAATAGTCACTGTAGGAAATTTGAGAGTGTCAAGTGTCAAACCAGACAGGTGATTTGAAAGATGGCATTGATGACAGATATCATATATCCAGAGATGGGTGGCAAGGTGGACCATCTAGTAGTTGCTGTGAACTCAAAGAATATAGTAGTGAAGTCTTTATAGGATATTCAACCCATAGGATACTCAACCATTATTTATTTCTAGGTTACTGACTCTCATATATTTATTAATTGCCTGTGCGTTGAGAAGAACAGGTGGAGGTTGTGTTGGCACATACAGGGTGAATCATTTATATTGTTTCCATTTATTAATAAATCAATGTTTTGCTACTGATTTTATTAATTTTCAATGTGAGTCAAGAATAGAGTAGAGATTCGAGAGTTGGCAACATGGTATATATAAATCAATGATTGAATAGCAGATATTGGGTAAGGGATCTTTCGGCAAAATGAACCCGTAACACAGTTTAATGGGTGATAGCATAGATAACTTCTCTTGTTTTGATTATTTCCCCTTTCATTTTTGTCCATATCTCGAGAACCTTGGGACTTTGCGAAGAGAACCAGCTATTTGTGATACATGGTACGCTCATCATCATCTGATTTTTGAAAAAAGGCTTTTGTGTTGGTAGTTATATTTTTTTTTCGTGTGGAGGCAGCGATGCATATCTATCAAAGAACGTCATATCCATTCACTCATAATTTCTCAAACATCATCTATCAAACGTCATCTGTCATACGTCATACGTGAGCTGTGACATCTGATATGTAAGCTGAGTGACCTGATCTCAAAACCGAAAGTGGGGTGGTCCAGCAAATTAGCTCAGGGTTTTCTCAAACACCCTAGATACATTATGTTTTCTCCCATCTTGTTATTATTCGCTCGCTCGTCGGAAACGGATGACCTTGAATAAAGGAACAGAACATTTCCAGAACGGACCTTACAATAGTGGGCGCCATGGCCGAGTTAATCTATGCGCTGAAATTCGCTAGATAGCCCATCTCGATGAGGAGGTACTGTCGGTTCGAAGCCGACTATCGGCTGAGACTTTTTCTGTGAAATGTGGGATACATGGTTGTAATCCTTGCAGCACCTCTATGCCCTAGAAGTGGTTCGGATTCCACTATAAGCTGTAGGTCACGCTCCCTGCACAAGTTTCGACTTTCCGAGAGTTAGTTCCCAACTTTGAAGTAGCGATATACAAAAAAAAACACGGAATAATTTCTTATATCTGGAGAAAAATCTACTTTCCTTCACACAGGCTTTTATAGAGCTTTCCTCCATGCAACACTGTAATTTCCGTAGAATCTGGGGAATATTGAATTGTGAAAAATGAGACGGTTCATAGATAACACAGTTACTAAGCTCACGCGATTATATGATTCGATCAAGTACCTAGTTACATCACTGTTGTTACTATTCGACTCAATTTATGATTTTTTTGTTTCAGTCATTATATATTGATGCTGCCATCTATATTCCAGCTGAATTATCACAGATCCAAGATCTTATTATCGAGAAGCAACTGAGGTTACACGTTACTCCTGAGGAGCTGGATATCCTGAGAAGTTGAATATTTATTAATATCGAGAATCCATGCACTTTGCGTGTCGAAGAGATTTTTATAGCGCTGTAAACTGAATCAGAATTTGTGATGTAAAAGCTATCAAGTTCGATTGAACGGATTTGTTCATGACAGAAATAACAATGAAAAAAATAGTTAAGCAGGGACTGGGTGGTCCGTTTTATTTGAGGCAGTCACATATCTCAAAGATTATGCATTGAAGAAAAACACAACAAGCCGTAAAATTGTTCAGTATTTAACCTTCATGGTATGTTTCGTGGTCATTGCGTGCTTCACCTTCGATTTTGCAATTGGAAACCATTTATTTCATTTACTGAATATTGAAAGGACAAAATGAATGTTTCCAAGACATTTGGTCATTCTACTTCAATTTTGAAAGATGAAGTTTTACTATACACAGTTTTATACTCTTTCAGATGATAAAGTTGTGGTAGAAACCCTTTTTTTCAACTTCGGGAAATGTATATCTGAACCCGTAACGAGAAACTTTACAAAAACATAGTTCATATTTTCGTTCTTTGAGAAAAATGTTTCAAATGGAACCTGTTGATTTTCAATGTATTTATAGATTTCATAAAAAAAGCATTAGTTTCAGTGGAAAAACAGAGTTGATATCTATCGCTGTTTTTCAACGCATCTGACATGAAAAAACTTCACTACCTATATACGTATATTTTCTAATTTATTACCTCTTCTGGATATTGTTGATAACCAATCAATAAAATTCACTCAATACTATTACATTCCTAGATAATCTTTTTTAAATACCATTCCCATCCCAACATTTTTTTTTTTTTTTTGGTACAAACATATCAATCAAAAATATTTTGATGTGAATGTTTCTGTAACACTTCAAGAAAATTGTCTGTGAAATGTTCTCGAACATTGCACTCCTAATTCTTGTTAATGTTCTGGACTCACTTTGAATGATATGTTTCAATCACAAAAGAGGTTTTATCCCGCTACAGGCGAGACCTTGAAATGGTAGTGGGGCTTCTAACGGGGCACAACAACCTCAATAGGCACCTAGAGCTTATTGGGATCAAGGATGATCCCCTTTGCAGATGTTGCCTGGAAGATGACGAAACCTCATCGCATGGCCTCACTGAGTGCCCAGCACTGACATATCAGAGGAGGGCTGTCCTTGGCAACATAATTTTGAGGCCAGAGGACGTGAAAGAGATTCAGCTAAGGGAGCTGCTGAACTTCTCTGAGAATGTCGGCTTACCCAGCTGAATGTCGGAATATGTGGGCGTACAATGGGCACGAACAAGGAGGCCTTCGTGCAGGGGTGTTCACCCGCCCACCAGTGCTCCGATGATGAAGAAGAAGAAGAAGAAGAAGAAGATATGTTTCAAAGATTATGTTTCGAGCACATATTGGTTGTGTCGTAACGACTATAATAGATAAAAGGTATCCACCTAGCTCTATTTTGTTCAGACTATTCACTATATATACTTGTAACAATATAGGTTTATATTTAGTAAATAAAGCAGGTGGGATATTTCACTATAAATTAATAATTTTCGAATTCAAGGATCTTCATGTTTTTGATATATAATGAATCACAATGTGAAGAAACTGTATTTAATATTTAATGATTAACAAGTCAAAAATGACAAAATCACTTCATCCCTTTCATCACATGGCGATTACACCACAATACTCCCCTCCCAAAACAAAAAAATCTTTATTTGACAATAATTATATGGAAAAGAAGTCAATCTTCTTGCACCGAATCCTCTAGATAGTCTGGTTTCAGTCTATCAATCGAAATAAACTTCCCTCGTCCTTTGATAGCTAGTTTAAATTTTTTTTCATCTCTCGAGAACTTTGAAGGGTCCAACATAGGGCGCTTGAAGGGGCTACTTCACACCATCTACCCTTACAAAAACGGATGGGGTTTTGAACACATTTTTGTAAATGAATCTTTCCATTTTACAATGTTTGGAACCTGGAATTGAATGAAAACATGCCATGTATGCCTTGAGTGTACGAACAAACCGGACTGGTTCAAGCTGAGGTGAAATTCCATGGTGTTGCATCATGAATTCTCCAGGAATTTGGAGAGTGGTTCCTTCCATATACCATCTCTGAACTCGTTGATTGGATGTCTTCTTTATAACTGGTACTGGTTCTCATTCCCAATAGAATAGTTGGTAATATGTCGGTCCATTTATTATTTTGGTGACATTTGAGTGAAGCTTTCAAGGTCCTAGGCATTCTTTCCATTATACCATCAGAACAAGGGTGATACGGTGTAGTACGAAAATGTTCAATTCCTAGTAGTCGGGCTAATTCTTTGAAAAGATTTGACTCAAATTGTCTACCTTGGTCCGTTGTGATCCTCAGAGGAACTTCAAACCTTGTCACCCATCCATTATAAAACTGCAGTGCACTCGTTTCTGCTTTGATATCTGCCATAGAAAAAACTTCAGGCCATTCAGTGTATCGGTCTACACAGGAAAGACAATAAGTGTAACCGTTTGATGGAGGTTAAGGACCAATAATATCAACGTTGACGTGTTCGAACCTGGCAGAAGCTAACTGGAATTGTCCAATCTGGCTTTCATTGTGTCTGGTAATTTTAGACTCTTGAAAAGGAATGCATTGACGAGTCCACACTCTGGTGTCTTTTTCGATTTTCGGCCAAATATACTTACTCTTCAGTAATTTGACGGGAGCTTTGATACCAGGATGAAATAATCCATGCAACTATTGGAATATTTGAAATCTCAGTTCTTTCGAAACAAAAGGTCTGATGATATTGTTATGTACATCACAGTAAATTTCGACTTCATCTGACATTCTTAATTTAGTGAGATTAAGTGATTTCAGTGATGTTGCGTTTGATAGAAGTGTTTGGAGTTCTTTGTCTTCATTCTGTTTTTGCTGAAAAAACTTGAAATCTATAAAATTTGGAATCTCAATTGTATCCACCCTGGACAAAGCATCATCAGTAACAGCATTAAATTTTCCTTCGATGTGCCTAATATCTGTCGAAAACTGTGCGATAAAATCCAGATATCTTGATTGTCTAAGGCGAAGAATTTTCATAACACTTTGAGAAAGCAGAAGTCAAATGCTTTTGATCAGTATAGATTATGAAATCTCTGCCTTGTAAGAAGGGGGGGGGGAGACTCTGATGAAGATACTCTATCCTCGAAATGAACTGATTAAATTACACCTGTCTTAGATCCATCTTCTTAATAATATTTATTTCCTTCATCTACTTGATTTTCCCTGCCAAACGAGACAGGTTTGGCAAGAAAGGTCCAATAAATACGCTTGGGATGGCTCGTTAACATTATCAAAAAAATTCCACTTACCTTTCGGAACAGAAGGGGTGACAGCTCTCTGGACTCAGCTATCGCTTCTGCGGGGCTACCGATTACCTCGAACCGTCACACGTATAAACACTTATCTGGTAACTCCTTATCTTCATTAATAATAATAATAAATCGTCTTTATTCATCTTGCAACAATATCAGTACATTAAATTTATAAAAAATAATTATTGCAGTACAAAGATGAAGAGGCGAAGTGTCAGCTGATGCTGTTTTACAACTTAACCCTTGAAGAAAAAGAAGGAATAAAGAGAAAAAAAGGTATAGAATACAATAGTACTATTGAACATATTATAAAGAGAATTGCCATCGATAGTTTGATAATCGGAAAAGTCTTGAGCTATGCGAAGTAGAATATATATTATATCATGCATCGAAATAACTATCCATCATTCAGTAATGCTTTCAGTTTCCTTTTAAAATTTAGTAGAGTATAATTATGAAAATCAGTAGGTAGAGAGTTATAACATTTAGTGGCTGTATAAGAGAAGCTTCGTTTATACAAACTGGTTTTGTATTTTGGAATTACCAAGGTATTTTTGTTTCGTGTTCTCGCATTGTTATATTATTAACTTTCAACTCATATCAGAAGAACTTTTATCAAATTTACTTTATAATTCACTTCTGGAAGAGAAATGGGAAAGTTCAGCAATAAAAGAATGAATAAAACCTTAATGATCTATTTAATAATTATCAAAATAAACAAATAATGAATAGACCAGTAAATAAAATATGACTCGATGAGGAAATGGCTCCTATATAGCGAAGAAAATAAATAAACAAAAGATGATTATGATGATTACAGCTATCCTGAGTGAGTTGAAAGCTGAAAGTAAATGTTTTAAGATTGTTCAAATGTTCTTAGCAGTACGGAAAGTGTCATATAGTATGTTTATACTATATTGTAATATAATTTATTACACAACTTTATTACTTATTATTTATTAACTTTCTTTAACAGTTCAACCTTACATGATCACGATACATTCAAACCACGACATGACGTTGACATTGACATCGACATTACAGATGACAGTCTCCAGTGCTGCCACATTCATGTGAGCACCAGATATGTGGATATGAAGATATGTCACATGCCCACCCTAAACACAACAGGTTCAATTCAAAATATAGTCTTGATATCGTTGTGGAGTTTTTATTTCTCTGGCACTTCGTCTTCGCTCAATCTCTGGTTCCGTCTTCCTTTCTTTATTCACAAGGGCATCTCCTTGCACCCTTCCATCTTCCATCAAATTCTGCACCTCATTCCTTTCTTCCAGCACCTTGGAATTTGCCATAGTTTCACGTCCCGATTGAGTTCGAAGATTCCTCAGATGGAACTTGTTCCTTCTGTACATAGCTCCATCATTAGTACGAATGATGTATGAGTTTGGATTACTGTCTTCCTCCACAACCTTTGCTGGAATCCAATTTCTGATGCCTTTTTGCACAAGCACATCTTCTCTCACTGGGCTTCTTTCTTTTACCCTGTGATTGTAATGGGTGATCTGTCTTCTTTGGTTATTTCTCAAGTTATTGCACACTTCCTCTGATCTATTTAGCTCCAAAGCATTTTCGCACGTTGGTAGGTTGGTTCTCCATTTTCTGCCCATGAGTATTTCTGAGGGAGCTGGCAAGTTATACTTTGGGGTGCTATTATAAACCATCGTCAATGTCTGGACACTTTCTTCAGGTGATTTCAGCATCATATTTTTGATTGTTTGAATATGGCGTTCGACGAGACCATTTGATTGGGGATAATAAG